GTGCTCATGCTAAGCTATAGTGATTGTTGATGTGAGTCCTTGTGGCTCAGGACTGTCGAACGGGAAATTCACACAATACTAGTTTGTACAACTTGTTGAATGCAGTTATTTGTATGAATTGAAGTTGTATACAACTCGGCATTCACACAGTGTCGAGTTGCATACAATTGAGATCTCGCGAGATCTCTGACCAAAATCTTATGATTCTCTACATTACTGCCGGAATCCTGGTTGCCAAGTTAATTTTCAGACACATAGTTTTGATTTAGATTGATTTCTATTGACTTTTTAAATAAGTATCTAATTATTTATTCCTCAATTCTTGCAATGATTATCGACCCATGTATATTCGCAGTAAACTGAGCTAATGTATGCAACAAATTGATGACTGAATCTCTCAGAATTTTAGAAAATGTTTACATGTAAAAATTGAAGTTTTCTTTTTTTCAGATGAAAAGGCCCACTAGTAAGGTTTGGTTTCACACTTGAGAATTTCGGTTGATTTCATTTGGATTGACAATTGACATCATGAGCATCGATCTATGCAATTGGAATACGATGACATGCATCAACCAAGTTAGTCGCCTCTTATGACAAGCATAGTTGCCTTTTACTGCAAGCATGGATTGCTGAAGACCTATTCTACCCCCGATCTTCTCATGTAGCTGTACCATGTATATGGGTGTTATTTGATAAATAATCATATTTTAGATGTTGTTTGATGCTTTGCCTAAAATAGTTGTGAATGGTATCACATTATAGATACTTTCCCGCGCAGTCCAAATCTGTGATGTGTATTTATGTGTATGATGCATTTTAAGTTTTTGAAACGTATTATGAACCTAATCGCATCTTGGTCTAGACTACAGTGTCACATAGCCTTCCGTTTCAAATAACACTATGAACAGTATAACCTAGAGAAATGTCAAGATATATAATTTGTTACACGGTTATTCTACATACCTACTTTCATAGCTCCTATATTGAGTGGTGACACTTGGGATATCAAAAAGCAGAAGTTATCGACAGGAATCAGAGTTGCCATTTTTAGATCACAGGGTCTGAAGGACCAAGGTGAGCTAATGGCATACCATGGCGTCTGTTGTCCGTAAGTCAACAATTTATTCAGACAACTTCTTCTTCTGAACCACTAATAGGAAATTAATGAAATTTGAAAGCATCCCTAGGTGGTGGGGATTCAAAATTGTACAAATGGTGGGGCTGACTCCCCCAGGGGCTGAGGGGCAGGGCCAAATAGGGGTAATTTGGCTATATTGCTTTGCACTTCTTCTCTGGAACTAAGAGATAGATATCAACCATATTTGGTTGGAAGCATTCTCCAATGTTGGTCCTTTAAAATTGGAGAAATGGAGGAGCTGAACCCTACCCCACCCTGGGGACAAAGGGGCAGGGCTAAAAAGAGTTTATAACTTGGACACAGTTAAGATCCCCACCGTATAACCATATGTACAATTGAGAGAATAATAAGGGGAATACACATATGCTACCAGGACTGGCCCTTCTGTTCATCTGTCCGGCATTCCCAAAGGAGAAATACACGTTCATGCTGTAACATTTGCCATCGACCCATTTCATATGTTGACAAAGTCAAAATTACAAAATATTTGCAGTATTATATACATGTACAATGCAAATGTATATTTTGTCATGATTGCGTAAATATCCAGGTGTTGTTGTTTACAGATTGACGTGAAAATATCAGGTGATTTTCATACGCGTTTTGATTGGCTTTGTTCAAACAACTTATAACGTAAAAATAGAGCATATCCTATTTTGTACAACTCACTTCAGACAAGGTGCATACGTCAAAAGTTGCCTGTTAACACGATGCAGTGTGTTGCATGCAACAACGAGGACATTGAGAAACGTGTGTGTCATGTATGCCATCGGTATATACCATGAACATATACCAATACCAGAACCGATCAGAGCTACAGAGTTTCCCGGAAAGCCATGGCAAAATGTTTCATATGACTTGTTTGGACCATTTCCAACTGGAGAATCATTGCTTGTTGTCGTTGACTATTACTTCAGATGGCCAGAAATTGCAGATTTTTAAACTTATCCTATTTCACAGTATGGATTTCTCATTCTTCTTTCAGTCCTAAGTGGAAACGTGCCTGTACAAAGGTTTCTAGCTTCTAAAAAAACCCAATCCTCCCGAACACAACTTTCATCTCCATGGTCACCTCCCAATTATCTAGGTCATGCTTGCTTTTCATGCAGGTTGACCTACTCACGCTGAACATGTGATTTCCCCAGTCAACTCATTCTCTTTTTAATCTCCACAGTGTGGTGATGTGCTCTCTCACGAGAATCCATCTGGCTTTTTTCTTTTTCCCCAATTTTCTCTCTTTGAAGACTTCAAGACTTTTTCTTTCCTTGATTGTTTATTTCAACATGGATGAAAAGGCCACACGTCAACCTGCGTGCCTGACTTGTAGACAGGTTTGAAAACAGTATTTGATCCAACTGCTCCTGTATTTTCTTCACAGTCAGCCACACTCCCTCTTGCTTCTATGAAGCCTACCGTAGACCGTATTTTCTCTTTTCTACTGCCGCTGATAATGTCAAGCTTTTTCCAACTGAGGGCGTCCCTTAGACTGCAGCTTTGATTGACCCCTCTACAGTCGCTCCTACTATTGTTTTGTCTACCTCATCAGCTCATCGCTTCCTGTCTACTCCCAGACTTTTCAGATCCCCTGTTCGACTTTGTAAAGACTTTTTATCTGAGGATCTGTCATCACAGGATCGCCCCTCACACTTATTGGAACCTCTCGATCAAGACTCACGTGAGTCTCGTTCTCGGGAGTTCTCTCCTGTGGATCAATGATCCTTTGATAAGGATCAGCTTGCGATGACTTGACTTTCGACGGATAAGCTTTCCTCCACAATTTAATCGCAGAACACGAATCAACGATCTTCTAAGTATTGACAAACTCAAGATCGGGATTGGCAATGTTGGGCTCGCCAACTATGGGATTAAAGATCTTCTCAGTCTTGCCACACCTCCAAGGATCATTAATCCTCCCCAGATTGACATACTTCTAAGGTTCGGCGAACCTCCAAGGTTTGGGGAACATCTCAAGAAAACCACTTCTCTGTGAAGCAGTACACTTCAAAAGTTCGATGAAGCTCACAGGATCAACGCACCTACAAGTATTATCTTCACACTTCTGATGATTGCATGGGGGCACGGGTGAACCATTCGTCTGAGGCGCCGCAATTCGCTGTGCAGAGTTGCGTCCCTTGGGCACGCCAGAAACCTATGATTGTGGGTTTGAATCCCGGTTCGCCCCGATTATGTTTCTAGGTTTGTCAGCACCATACCAGTGCTCATGGGTTTCACCGAAGTGGTAAACGTCTAAGACCTGCATCACTTCGGGCTTTCCTCCCACATTAAGCTGACACACTGCGATATAACTGGAATACTGTTAAAAGCGGCGTTAAACCCAACTCACTCACTCACTCCAATGATTGCTGCTCCTCTATGGATCAACGCATCTCAAAGGAACGACAGAACTCTTAAGGATCGATGTTCACCCATGGCTCATGTATTGGTTCCGAAGATGAACTTTATAACGATTCTATTGGACACTCCTCCCACTTGGCTCATTCCTTTTCTTCCAGTCATCTTGACTCTCTCCTACGTGATCGTTCTCATTCTTATGATTATCGTCATCAATGACAAGAATTGCCTTGGAACCCTGCTTTGTATGATGCCTACGCAAACCTGCCGCGTGATTGGTACCCACAGTCACAGTATATGGATTTTATAGGATGTGGCTACAAATCTGGATAAAGCCTTTCCCAGGCACAATGTGTGATCAACTCCCTTGACACACTACCTGAACATATTACGATGTCCAGAGAATGAACAGATCTCTGTTGAAATACATTAAAGAAGTCAAACTAGGGAAGAAAGACTGGAGAAAAGAAGTTTTGCAAATTACTGTTACCGTACCGATCCATGTCACGTGAGACCTGAAGTCAAGTATGTGAAAGTCTGATGACGAAGTCCAAAGAAAAGATGAAAAAATGAAAATGAAAGGGAAGAAATATGCTGACAATGTTCAGAGAGCTGAAGCATGTGATTTAGCAGTTGGTGACTTAGTTTTACTAAAGCAGGGACACCTTCACAATTTGACAACACCATTCAACCCTGATCCATAGAAAGTTGTTGAACGGAAAGAGAGCAATTCTGTTATTTTTTAGAAATCTAATCAGTTGGTGAGATGGATTATTTCTGACATGAAGAAATTTGACATACCTGACATATCTCGCTGTCTTCTCCAGATGATCTAGGGGAGGAAACTAGATAAAATGAGGGTGACAACAGTGAGTGAGTCATAGGTGTTAGACTTGTCGACAAAGTGAAGTTGGTGCCAAACGAGTACAAAGACTATGAACTTAAAATGTATTCAGCGTAAAGGAATGTGAGCAAGTTAAGTTCTTTTTCTCAGTGAGTGCCAGTTTGACAGACTTGGACATTAACATGGACTTTGAATGACAAAGGCCGTTGATAGATATAGCTTATGCATGATTCTGTAAGTGGTTTCAATTATAATGATGATATTTGTATGCTCCCATAGGTTTTTGTGAAAAGTACAAGTTTAAAGTTAACACCATGTGTTATTGTTTCTCTTTAACTGTGTAGAAAAGTAATATAAGTCTAGCAGATGAATAATATTTTATTACAATAGCATAGATATGATCTTTAGCGAGAAAGATTTACTTTATGAAGTAATTATTGATATTTTTCCATGTCTATGGAAAAAAGGAAGGCGTATCAGTATCATAGTGGTTCCTGCCATTACGCCATCAACTATGTCTCATGTTGTAAGCCCGCAAATACAGGAAGTCAAGAAAGTAACATGGCTGCGAGCCAGACATGTTTGTTTCGCTCGTGACAATACCTGCTCTGAATATTACATGTTGTACTGTTTGGTTTTGAACCTTTAAACTGTTCTTTATTACAGACGCCAAAACTTATGGAGTTGAAAGGAGCCCTATTCAGGAAGCAAGAAATAGTAAGTAATTTCTGTTCTGTTGTATGTTGTAATGTGAAGTAACATTTCAGATAATGAGTCTTTTGCTCACCACAACCAAAGGTTAAATTGAGCTTGAATGTAGGTACTTTTATCTGTTCTTCAATCCTTAACCTGACATCTCTGACACCAAAAGAATTATTGTGCTGGATTTCCATGGATGATTGAAGCATTATTGTTACTGGGAAAATTCATTCATTCATCATCAACTTCTATGCAGAGTAACAGATACTAGCTTGAATTTTATCAGCATTATTTGTTTTTTGCTCATCCAGATGAAAGTTGTACTTTCAGTACACATTTGATTACACATTTTTTATTGACCCATGAAGATCCGGAGTAGAATAGGTCTTCAGCAACCCATGCTTGCCGTAAAAGGCGAATATGCTTGTCGTAAGAGGCGACTAACGGGATCAGGTGGTCATGCTCGCTGCTCGGTTGATGCATGTCATTGTATCTGTGTTCGCGTTAATGCAGGAACCTGCGTTTTTCACGCATTAAAATCTTATAAACACGCAAAAAAAAAATTGCATGCGTGTTTTGCACGCACAGATTGTGATATACTGAATTTTGTATTAATACCATAAAATAAAAAACTATTCAAAGCTGATAGCCTGCTTACGATGTTCAGACGAAAATAATTCAAACCTGGAAATTCCCATTGCTAAAAATAGAATTGACCAGATGGCGCTTTGAATCGCGTCCTTTATATTTCCATATATGGTCTTTGGGCAACAGAATAACTAATCTCAGACACAGGACGTCATTCGTTACTATCAATGGAATTCCCCGTAAGTCGTTCGTTTCATCCAATCAGAGCCAAGCTTACAAGTAATAGTCGGTAATACGAACGATCATAAACAGAGTGACGGAAGAAAACTTCCACACATGGACATGTGCTAACAACATTCATATTTATTTTATTGATGATAGAACGTTCATTATATCAAAACTGGACCGTAAGTTAAAGCTTGGTCATAATTATTAGCTGTACTAGTACTGATTTTATTGAAATAAAAACTTCACACGCGAAATATTTGAATTGAAAATTTATTATTTCATTTCTGCACACACTGTACAAAAACCTACCGCAAACACTGTGTATGCCAATTGCTTGGATCGATGTTCATTTTGTCAATCACTGGATTGTCTGATCCAGACTCTATTATTTACAGACCGCCGTAAAATAGCTGGAATATTGCTGAGGGCAGTGTTAAACAACAAACAATAAAACACATTTTGTCAAACAATTTCCAAAGTTATGCATTTGTAGTTCTGCAAAGAATATAAATTTTAATGACCTATATATCCTCTGGCTGCGAAGTATAAGGGATTATGAACAGCTATGAGACCCACAATTGACCAAGTTGATAATAAGTAAATTTTTTACTTATCCTGCATTATTCCATCATTACATTCACTGCTTACCTTATGACAACAAAGACATCGCTCAGCGATGGTCTTGGGTGAAGAAAATGTTCAAATCCAGCTTTTTGCATACATCACTGTCTGTCTCGTAACAGCAAGGACGTCTCTCAGCTGAGCCCTTCAAATTGGATATTTTTAGACCTTTAGCATTGGCTATTACTCTAGATTATGTCTGCGATGGGTGATTTTGGTGTAAAAAGACTTTGTGTAACAATTGTTTACCTGCAAGGGTAGTCAAATTGGTTGCATTTCGTAGCTGCGTATTTATAACATGTTCATGTGTATTTAAATACTGGTAGTTTTGGTGTTACATAGAGTTTTGAGTGCAACATTTCATTGTATACACTTTCAACTCTAAATAAAATATTTGTAAAATTCTTTGGCAGTTCGTATCAATCAACAACTCCCTATTTGCGTAACATATGCTTGCATGGTGTACAAATTGTCTCATCCATGCTGTTTGGCTTGCATGCAAATTTGCTCTCCAAACTTGAGATGTAATTTTTGTTCACCTCTCCTTCCATCCAGTTTTGCTATCTACAGACATGTCACCTGCTTCTAATTTTCAGGCATCTGAGGCTTCCATTGCAACAGCCACTGCGACGCCAGTGCGTGCTTTTGTTTGGGTAGCACTGACACAAACCACGATCCAGTTGACACCGATGGGCTTGCGCTGAGAGCAGAGCCTTCCTACCCCCAGGTGCGCCTTCGATTACATAAGCCTCAGGGCTGCCAGCGTACCCCATTATGTCAGCGACGCATGATCAGCTTAGAGCTGTTCCACCTACTTATCCGGCAGCACAACAGTTGTACGCAGCAGCGTACCAGAACAGCAACTGGATGCAGAATTTTATGCAATCCATTTGGCGGCAGTTCTGTCACAATTGTACCCAAAGCCAGCGTCAGCTACAACTCTTACACATACGTCAGTGTCCACACCGGCGTCTAATGTTTACCAAACACCTGATGTGCGTTCTGTTCAGCGCATACGCCCTTGGTTAGCGCAATTATACATCGGTATCATCGCATGAGTCCTTATCACCAGGCGTTTCTTCAAAGCCTTCTGATAGAGGAGGGGCTACACACAGTAGTAGAAGTCAATCTCCTACTAGGAGAGCGTGTCACCATCATTCTGATTCTTCGGACTAATCAAATGGCGAGGATGGAGATTCCTCTGTTGAGTGGAATCCGCATATTAGCTTAGCACAAATGCCTGAGTGGGTAGCAGACTGTCTCATGTGAGTAACGCCTACCCCTGAAAACGGGGTTGATAAGGAGGATACCATATGGTCACATCCCAACACGATTCCGGTGAATCTGATGTTGACAGATATGGTTAGGGCACTGTACGAGGGTTTCTCAAGTCACACTTGCGCCATCATTCAAACCGTCAAAGTTCAGGAAAGATGACTTTCCTATGCATGCTTTTTTGGTGGCAGATCAGACTCATTGTCTGGATGAGGATTTACAAAGGATGACGGGCTCGTCAAGACCAACTATGCTTAAAGTCCAAGATACCAGATTTGCGTTTATTAAAACAGCGTGTACTAAAACCTTTGTCAGCACTGGCTTCTTCAACCCGTGCTATGGATCAAGATCTTACGGAAGATAATCCTAACCATTTACATCACTTCCAAACTGTGGTTGACTTCCAACAGCGCCAAATTGGGGTATTTATCGCTGTTCAACTGGGATTCAGAGGTCCAGTGCAGGCTCCTATGTCAATCTTGGTCAACTAGCGTCGTGTTCAATGAACAAATCGTGGACACGCAGGCTACAGTATCTAATTATGCTCGAGACGAGACCACGCTCAAAGCATTGGGGCACCTTTCCCGGCAGCCAGGCAGGTCGGGCAATTATAAGCCAAGACGCTTATCCCTCAAGGAAGGTCAGTATCAGTATGCAGCTATCAATCTCAACTGAGGACACATTTCAACTGGTGGACGATAGTCGAATGTCTTCTTACTCGGGCTAGCCCTGAATTTACACCTGTTTGTAAATGTTTCCTTGCAAGGGTGCTCCATTACAGGGCCAGACAGCCTCATGGTTGTGGTAGTGCACACAACAGATTTGGCACTTTAACAATCTAGAATTTGAAAGTGCTCATTCTGGCCATCTCACATTGGCAAGAGCAGCTACTGTCCACCCCACTCACAATATTCACTAAGAACAGTACTGTGGTGTGGTGCCTGCGCAATCAAGAGACATCGCAATCTCTCCCTTCTGTAACAGACATTCAGTTTCTTTCTTCTAGTGGATTGTCTGGGACTTAAATTCATACTCCAGCACATCCCCCTGTGTCAGAACATCCTGACCGACGACCTATTCCGGCCAGACACAGTGGTTCCTATGAATGGGTGTGGAAACTTCACTCAGGGGCGTTCCAACTGGTGATTGGGCAACCAAACACTGACCTGTTTGCAACGTACCAGAACCACCGGATGTCTCCCACTCCCGGATCCGTTGGCTTGGGCGTTCGACGCATTCAGTGTCCCCTGGAAAGGGCTCAAAGCATACGCTTTTTTTTTTTCGCCTCTTGTATAACTTCCCAGGATAATACTAAGGATCAAAGTTACAAAAGCATTGCTTTGACTTTGATCATGCCTTGATGGCCGACAAGGAGGTGGTTTGTTTACCTAAAAAAAACTTGCAGAAAACAATCCACTACCCCTCCCAGGGTGGTCCAACCCACTCATCCACCCTCACAGCACTCTAACTCTACCTTTTAAGCTTGGGCGACAGGCAGTAATATTAGGAAGGTGACTTGTCATCAAGATCACATGACGGTGGCGATGGCCAATGCGAAAAGCAGGAGTTGAAAATGGAAACATCTTTCTTTCACCCAAGACCTTCGATGGGCGCCATCTTTGTCGTCATAAGGTAAGCAGTGAATGCATTAAGGATTAATGCAGGATAAGTATTAAAATGTAAAAAGTATTTAGATTTTACTAAATGCTCGTATGTCCAGGTCAGGAGTTTGAAACAAGGGTGATAACTAAGACACAAGTCCTAAAACCATTGCTCATTATTATTTCAATGTTAAGTTGGCAGAAAAATATTTGGCGAGGCGCTGCTGATGCTCCCCTCTCTGACCACTGCAACATCTGTGTCAATGGAAACACTATCACAAGTAAACACCAGGTCATCATCCATTGGTCGGACTTGAGCAGATCCCTTCTGGTCAGCTTTTATGCCGAAATCACCACTCTTCTCTCAGCATATTCGCTTCATATCGATAGTGAAGCTTTTCAATTCCAGTCTGGAAGAAGTTTTCTGAAGCCACCCTGAAGCTCTTCCAAACACACATTGTTGCACAGCAGCCTTTGCAAGTCGAGAGGTGTGAGAAGAGGCATTGTCATGAAGTAGTACAACTCCAGCAGTCAGCGTTCCTCACCGCTTTTCTTTCATTGAATCTCTCAGGCGATGAAGCAAATCAGCATAGTAGGCATCGGTATGCGTCTTTTGACTTTCTAATTCTCTTTCAGATTAAATCCTCCTTGGGGCATTTATTGCATTTTCCTTGCTCAAGAAAATCTACATGACATAGTTGTAAC